CACGTATTAAATACAATAAAAAGGAATACATCTTTCACTTTTCACATTTTTGTGGAGTTATCTCTTTAGTTAACTCATTCGAGACATTGCTTACCATACGAAGAGACTAAATAAAGAAATTGCTACAATATTTCAGTCCTGAACTGGAACTTGTAACCATGATGTTTATTCACCAAAATTTGCACAGCATGAGTATTTAGTATAAGTACTAATGACTAAAATGTAAGTTCAGAAGATTCCTGAGGTGTAGTAACTTTACATTCAAAAATACTGCTTGTATAATGTCTCCTCCCAGTAGACCTCTTTCAAAAGCCTATGATTCCCATTATTTCTGCTGTCTTGTGAATTCACTTTTATTCCTGAAACTTCAAATACCACAAAAAACTTGCATTATTGATGCGAAACATCCAAAAATAAGCTACCCACTGCTAGTGTTTTTGTATTGCATTGCTAGGAGTAGTTATGATGCAGTTACGGGCCAGGAAGCAAGCGGATAGTCAGGTCTCATGTTGACTCAGCAGCAGACAGTTTTTGTTTTTTATGGCTACTCCTCTGTGTGACAATTTCAATTTCACTTCCTCAATCTCACCTTGCACAGAGATTTTCCAGGTTGCAGAACACCAGTCTAAGCACGGGGTGGCTGACAGTCACTGGCAGGTCAACAAAGCGATTAACCGTTTACACAAACATAGTAGCTACCACCACATGTTTTAACAAAAACAAAGTCTATATCACTCAATGTCACTCAAAGATAGGAATATAACAGAGCTTACACCATGGTTGCTTCTTCAAAAAAGGCAGAGTTCTTAATATCTACTTAGCGCATTCAGAGATTCAGCAAGTCAGTTTAACAAATTTTTATATATAGTTTTAATGGGAAAGAAAAGCAAAATGTTTACAGAAAACATATAAAGCAGGCACAAACAACAGTAGGATAAAAAGATTTAAAAACAAAATATACTTAAGCAGAGCCTGCCTGCCCTCAATACAGTGCAGAGTTTGGATCATTTGAAAATTATGTCCAGCCTGATATTGCGAAGTAACTGGCTTTCTTAGGGCTCATGTACACTGCAGCTTCTAAACTGACGTTTAGCAGATGTTCAGTGGTTTTTTCAGCAGCTCCTGAACTCTCCCTAATGTTTTCCTATGTGTCCATGTACACATAGTTGTTTACAGTCGTTTACAGGCAGTTGAGTATACAGTAGTTTTTTGAACGCCCCAAACTTACATTCAGGAGTAGATTTTACTGGCGTTTCAAACGCATGTAAACGCAGTTAACCACGTTTATAAGCATTTGCGTTTAGAAGCAATTTTTAACTGTTCCATATCCAGATGCTGTCTAGAGTCTTTTTTCATCATCAGAGATGCATGCAGAGCATTTTCCATGTATTCACCTAGTACACCAGTGCAAAAAATGGTAGAACGTGCTGCATTATGCTCATGATGGGATCCATAGTGAATACAACCAGAAAAGACAGGTCATCTCAACACATACTGATCTCTCGGCTTCTGCTCTCTCTATTTCTCTCAAAACATCTGAAATAGTTAATTATTTACTATTTTTCAGTGCATTCTGGGCATTTGGGTCTCCTGAAGTTATCTTTTTTAAAACCGCTTCTGAACGCAACTGCACATAAACACGGCTAAACTGACGTTTTTTAACCTACATTTTCCAGCAGTCAGTTTTCATCATTCAGAAGAGTTTTCCAAATGCCCCGTGTACATGAGTCCGTAGTGTGACTCTCAGTAATCTTTAGCAGTTCTGATGGTAAAACAAGATTCTCACAGCTGCTGGTACAACCTTCTTTTCTTGTCCCTGGAGAGGGCATTGCAGAGCTAATTCCACCCAATAAAAGGATCTGAAAGGTGTGTTGAAGATATGCTGCAATATTTCTTTTTGCCCAGTGGGCACTCTCCCAGCATGGCAGCTATCCTGTGTCCATCTATGTTTCCCAATGATAAGGGTTCACAAACAGAAAGCATATCATATAGCAAAATGAAATTACAATTTGTTAGGCAACAAATATGACAGGCCTATGATGTATCTTTCTTGTTTTGAGGTCTAATGTACCTTATTAGACTCTAGGACCTTGTGATATTGGCATGTTTGGTGTCTGAATAGTATTTTCTTCATTAATGTAGCCAGTCTTAGGGAAAGTAACTCCATTACTGTACTGTACTGTAGGAGTCTTGAAAAATTAACTGAAACTAGTGGTTAGCACTTCTTTCTTGCAGTACTGCGGTCCTTGGTTCAAATCCTGGTCATAACACTATTTGCATGAGGTTTGCATGTGCTTGTGTGGGTTTCCTCTGAGTACTCTGGTTTCTCTCTGCACTACAAAGACATGCTGGTAGGTTAACTGCCTTCTGTCTACATTGGGTCTAGCATGTGTTTATACAAGTGAAATAGGGGCCCTAGACTCCTTGAAGGCAGGGAATGATGTGAATGAATGTAAATATGTAAAGGGCTGCATAAACTTTTGTCACTATATAAATACCTGTAATAAATTAAAAATAAAAAAATAGATGTTTGAGACCTATGATATTCAGCTACTAGGTCAATATAGATCACTGCCTCCATTCTCACACATATGTATTCCTTAACCACTTGACCTGCGGAGGGTTTTATCCTCTTCATGACCAGGATATTTTTTGCTATTCAGCACTGTGCAAATTTAACAGACAATTGCTTGGTCATGCAACACTGTCCCCAAATATATTTTTTTTCAAACAAATAGAGATTTCTTTTGGTGGTATTTAAAACGATACTAAAGGCCTAATTTTTTTTTTCTAAAAATAACAAACATGTCTATACTTACCTGCCATGTGCACTGGTTTTGCACAGAGCAGCCTGGATCCTCCTCTTCTCGGGTCTCACGCAGGCTCTCCTGACCCCTCCCTCCTGTTGGGTGCCCCCACAGCAAGCAGCTTGCTATGGGGAAACCTGCTGCCCCATGGCCCCACCCCCATCTCTTCTTATTGGCCCACTGGCTGTAATTGCCAGCAGCAAGAGCCATTGGCTCCCACTGCTGTCTCAGCCAATGAGGATAGCCGAGACTTCAGTTCACATTGCTGGATCGAGAAGGGGCTTAGATGAGTATTAAGGGGGTCTGGGGGGGGGGAGGTAAGAAACCTTGAGCCTCTACAACCACTTTAATCTTTTTTTTTTTTTTTTTTTTTTTTTTCTTGCTATATAAATGAAGAAATACTGAAAATTTTGGAAACCCCCCCCCACATTTTTTCTTTCTGTTATAAAATTTTGCAAATAATCTTTCTTCAGGAATTTTGGCCAAAATGTATTCTGCTACATTTCTTTGGTAAACATAACCCAAATCAGTGCATATTATTTAGTCTGTGTGGAAGCTATACAAACTAAGGTATATGTATTTAAAAATTGATCAGTTCTGATGTACTGATGGCCTATCTTGTTTCTTGACGCACTAAAATGCTAGTACTGTACATATACCCCCCAAATTACCTCTTTTTGGAAAGTAGAAAGCCCAAGGCATTTAGTAAGAGACATGGCAAAGTTTTTTGAAGTAGTCAATTTTTTTTGTCACAATTTTAAATTAAGAAATTAAATAAAATGTGTTTTTCTTTATAACATTGAAGTTCACAGTTATAGACATTAGTTTTAGTTGTCCTGATTGAGTTAACATTCATGACAGCTTAGTTACTGTTGACATACTTTGGCTACAGCTAATCACATGGTACAGGTAGCCAGGTACCATGTGATAGGTGTGAGCCAATCACAGCTTCACATCACTAAGCAAGTAGTCATGAATCGAAAGGATTCATGACTGTTTTGTTTACATAGTAATCATGTGATCACTACGATCAATCAATGTAATCAAGTATCAATCCACAAGACACAGCGATCACAGAATTACACCACTGCATGCCCTAGGGGGTCCACTAGTGCGTATGTGTCGGGCAATGTACTAGTACATTGCAAAGCCTGGCTGTCCTGCCTGTCTGCAGTAAAACTACTGTGGGCAGGTAGCAAGTGTTTAAATTGCATACTAGTCCATTTAAGATGTAACCATTTATGACACTGCTACACCAGACCTTGCTGGTTAAGGTTTATTATATCTATGCAATATTTCTAGCTTGGACTGTGTTTTGCCAAATGTGTCACTTTTGATGCCTGCCTAGCAATGACACAAGATTTTGATCTGACAGGAGATTTTGTTCACCGTCTTATGGATTTTGGAGAAAATGAGGGTAGCATTGTGTTCAGTGCTGCTCCTCCATTCTCTCCACAGTAGGAAGTTCATCAGACTTCACTATTGTCACACCCTGTTTTGCCTCTAATTAAATAATGATGAGCTACATTTTATTTAAATCTGTTTACAACCTCTTCTGCAAGTACGAAGCTGAATGTTATATTAATGCTCTCAATGTAATTTTTTTCTGCCCATTTTCAGTGATGTTAATCTTTCTGCCAAATCCATGAATCAGTGAATAAAAATTATTTATTTTCACAATATATACAATAAATAAACTGTGGAGGAAAAAGTAATTTGTTCATTACAGACTATTTTATTACTGTGAAATTGCTCCTTATTCAGTTGGTACTAATGGCATTGGAATATATACTGATATCATTGTTGATGAATTAAAGCACTTACCATTTTTCTGTTTTAATAGAATTTACTATATCATCTGTGTCACTAAATACACGTTCTGTAAAATCTTGCACAGCTAACGTTGATTGCAAGGATCATTGAAAATCCTCAGAGCTTATCTCAGTTGTATCTGATTTGTGGGAGAGTTGTCACTTTGCTTGGACAGATATTTGCCTGTCACTTTTAGGACAAATGATGGATGATCCAGGGAGAGTATTTTATTTTTTGTATTTTAATGAAAAGTTTCTGTAGACCCTTGACTCAATCAATGTCATTTCAGTTTTATAAAGACAGCAAAACTCTTTGACTGTGGCATGTAAAATAGTTCTTTTTTTCCTACTGCAATAAATTTAGACATTGTTCTTGTTTCAGGAAAATATGGCACTGAAATCCGTCCTGCCTTCATTCTTAATGTTCCATATCTGTTTCTGCCTGTATGGGCTGGAATAAGGATATTCAGAGCCAGTCATGCTTTTCCAAAGTTCTCTACTGAAAAGGTAAGAGCTGCTTTTTGACTGGTATGGCCTAGACAATGCCTGGCTGTCTTAAATACAAATGTTTTTTTTTTTTTTTTCTATTAGGTGGTGGCTGCACAGAGTAAAGGAATCTTTCAGCGACCTGTAGATATTACTGTTATTCTGTATCTACTGGCTGCCATTGTATTCACTCTCTTCAGGGGCCTGGTAAGTTTTTTTTTTTTTTTTTTTTTTTTTTTTTTTTTTTTTTTTTTTTTTTTTTTTTTGTAATAGCTCTTCTTGGGCATCCTATAGATATAGTCAACTGTATAAAAATTTAGGGTTAGAAAGTTACCAATAACAGCCAATCAAACTTTTTCTCTGGTGGTCTGGAAAATATAGAGAGTCCAATGGTTGGTTGTTGGCCACTATGGACAATATAGGCATTCCTTTTTCCTAAATTATTATTCACCTTACTGAAGATAGTAAAAGTGGTACAGTTCTAATGCCATGTTTGTTTGTAATAATACTTTAAATTTTTATGAAATATTTATTTTAAGGTATTTTAATTTCTTTATCCATTAAAATTTTTTTATTGTAACTACATGTTTGGTTTAGTTACACTTTTATTGTAATTCTACGAAGTTGAAGAACCACTGGTCAAAATCTTGAGCCAGGCTTGTGCATGCACTGTGTGCTTTTATTTTAATCCCATAGAGAATTTGTACTCCGCTGAAGCACAGAGAATTAACTCTGCATAGGATTGAATAGGATGCACATAATTCCATCATCATTTGGTTCATGGGACAATGTCAAATACTTTGGCAAATCCTGTACATGTGAACGGTCTTTCAAATATTAACAGGGTAAGGAAAGAACAATGTCACGTTTTTGAATAAGATATTTTGTCCTATTGATTAATAACAAAGAACGTTCGCTGCTCTCAACCCAGTTTTTACACACCATTGTAAAAGCAAGTCACATGTAACAGGCTTGGTTTTAGCCATATTTCTACCTTTTGTATATAGCTAGATGGATCTACAGATCTAGTATGCCCTTTTGGAGTACAGTAATCATGTATGTTGCAACACTACTGGTAGTGTTGATGGGCTTTTCCATTCAGAACTGCTTCTCTCCCCATTCAAGTATATGGGAATGCAAAATCAGCTTGAAGCAGGTCAGAAGAGGTTGCCTGCACCTATCAATGAATTCTGAATGATCTCTGAAGCTTCTCAAGCTGTTTTCAAACTGACAATGTCAAGTAATGTCAGTTGGCAATTGCCCTTAATCTGTTTTACCAACCTTGTAACAGATTAAATGTAAGCCACTTTCACATGCGGTTCCCCATTGAAGCCCGTCACCACTGGCTGCTTATGTCTTAAATTTTATTACAACATATTTTCCAGTTGGAACTTGTAAACCACTGTCTCAGTTATTTGTGCAAATTATCAACTGTCATAGTGTCACAAATGGACTTTTGGTAGAGGACAGTCAATCCCCAGGTACTATAAGGCTATGTTCATATCATTGTGTGCCAAGAACGCGCTTACTTTTTTGTCCATTCCCAACATTAGAGAAATGTGCTGCTGTTAGCAGATGCACAATGATGCCATTAATTCTTAATGGCAGCCCCACACATCATCTTCTAAATGCCCACAGGTTTTGCGCACGCTAATCAGCATGGTTCGGCAGTACCATGAGATTACATGTGGCATGATTTTCAAAAAGGGTCCAAGTAGGCTGCCCTATCCACAGAACACAGCCCTCACAAGTGTGAGCAGGACGCAACAGGTACTGTGAGATCTGACAGCCAAAATGACACAGGTATTTTGTATAGGTACAATGATTAGCTTGTTTCTTTAGATATGTAGGTAGTCTTAACACTTACTGATGTAAATAGAAGAGCCCTCACAATAAACAGAGCCCAGACATATTCATTATAGCTGCTAATAGTGTTATTGGTTCAATGCCTGCTTCCTTAAGAAAACGATCCCTAGGTCACTGCACCAGTAAATATTAAATATTCAAGGTGGAAGGCTGATCTTGGAGGGTCCAGATGTAGCAAGCCAGGCCAGGCATCCTCCAGTGGAGGAGACCTAAGTATTCGTAACCCACTTGTTTTCATTTTTTTTGTTTGTGCAAATCAGTGGGTTGTTTTTTTTCTAAGCCCTGACAGTGCTTGCACAAAATTTAGCAAATTGGTTTTATTTTTTATGCTTGGAGACAGTATATGTATTTTATTTTAAAATATAAAAAAAATAGAATAGGTGTTTTATTTTTAAAATTGATGCTTAAGTCCCTATTTGTAACTAAAACCTATGTAGTAGAAAAGTGATTACAAACTGTCTACGTTTATCTTCATAGCTGGTGTTAGATTGCCCTACGGACTCTTGTTTCAATTACATCTACCAGTATGAGCCATACCTTAGGGACCCATCTGCCTATTCTAAGGTCCAGGTAAGTTTTCTGTCTTTTTTTTTTTTTTTTTTTTTTTAAACCTATGAAGTATGGATGTGGCAAACTCACCAGGGTAATATAATAAAAAAAGATAAAAGGGGCATCACACTGAGTGGAAAAACTCAAAAGAGCACTTTGATAGAATAAAGTATAGCACACATCAGTGTTTGTTGTCTCCAGTGTGGTAAAAATGAATAGACAGAGGTTGTGTTTTGGCTATGTGCACACACCCCGTTGGTGACATCTCTAATTGCTGTTCAGGCTATTCAAAGGTCCAGTCCTTCTTAAGCTGGCCATAGATGGTTCAAATCTTTACCGGTTCAGCAGGGACCGGTCGAGATTGGGAACAATCATCTTGCCCATAGATGGTTCAAATTTGATTGTTGTACACCTTGGGTACAACCAGCATGTCGGATTTTCATATGATTTATTGCCACTAGCAATAATCACTGTGTTGCGGGAGGAATGGCCCCCCCCTATTAGGAGAACACAATAGGTCTGCTGGGGGGGGGATTCCCCCATCAACTTTGACTGTGTTGATGAGGGAATCAAGTGATTTTCTTCCCTGCAACCACACAAATCGCATCATCTATGGCCTGCATTACTCTGCCAGGGTGGTGCAGGTTTCATGTAGGCTTCTGTAGATATTATAAATGCAGAGCTACTGGAGTGACATCAAATTGTGTGTTTGACAGATATTAATAATGTTGCTTTATATGGATTATTGATGTAAGTATACAACAAGCTGCTGTGAAGTAAAAATTATTTATCCTTACCAGATGTTGGTCAATATGTTCTACCTACTTCCATTTCTATGTGTGTCCATCTATGGTCTTCTAATTCCTGGCTGCTCATGGATGCTGGATTGGACACCTGTGTTTGCTGGTGCAGTAGCACAGGTAAGAGAGCCCTAGACTGTACTGCAGATAATTTGTTCACTGTTCACTTAAAAAATGATCCGTTGCTTAATTTATGCAGCTGTGTAAAACAAGGGGACAATTAAGTGACAAAACTAGATTAAAAGTTTTCTGTGTTATCTCATTGTGATGTTCAGTGCCAGCAGGTCTGGTTAAAGGATTACTAGGAATGGCTTGCACTGAAAAACTAGAAGGAAAGATATGGGAAAAGAAATTGTAATTAACCCGTATCCCACAGCAGCATGGATGCATCTTCACATTTAAATCCTCAATAGCAAATACATTTTCAGGAATTATGGTATTATTATTATACAGTATTTATAAAGCGCCAATAGTTCGCTTAGCGCTGTACATTACAAAGGGGGACAGAACATGTGACAGAACAATACCAATACAATGCAAAACATGAGGGGATTCAGGGCCCTGCTCTTTCGAGCTTACAATCTAGGAGGGAGGGGATAGTGGTACAGGAGGAGATAGCTGTGGGGGATGGAGTGGTAGGAAGAGTGGAGGAGGTCGGCAAGTTAGCAGGGGGTGGGGTAGGCTTCCGTGAAGAGATGGGTTTTTCAGGGTGCGCCTAAAGGAGAGGAGAGTAGGTGATAATCTGATGGGTTGGGGCAGGGAGTTCCAGAGGATGGGTGACATCCTGGAGAAGTCCTGGATGCGGGCATGGGAGGAGGAGACCAGGGAACTAGAGAGAAGGAGGTCTTGTGAGGAGCCGAGTGTGCGTGCTGGGCGGTACTTGGATATTAGGTCAATGATGTAGTTCGGGGCAGTATGGTGGACAGCTTTGTACGTCAGTGTTAGGATTTTGAATTTGATCCGTTGCGCAATCTGAAGCCAGTGGTGGGATTGGCAGAGGGGGGTGGCGGAAACGGAGCGGTTGGAAAGGTGAATGAGTCTGGCAGCCGTATTCAGGATCGACTGAAGCGGGGATAGCCAGCGGCGAGGCAGGCCAGTGAGGAGGGAGTTGCAGTAGTCGATCGTGATATGATGAGGGAGTGGATGAGCTGTTTAGTGTTTTCTGGGGTTAGGAACGTGCGTATTTTGGCGATGTTGCGGAGGTGAAGTCTGCACGAGTTTGTTAAAGATTGGATTTGGGGCTGGAAGGATAGGTTGGAGTCCAGAATGACACCCAGTACTCTGGCCTGCGGGGCGGGTTTGATGGTAGCGTTGTTGGACGTGATGGAGAAGTCAATGGGGGGTGGTGTCTGGGCTGGGGGGAAGACAAGAAACTCGTTTTGGAGAGGTTCAGTTTAAGGAAGTGGAGCGACATCCAGTCTGATATGTCGCTCAGTAGGTGTGTGATTCGGGCGGAGACCGAGGGGGTGAGGTGGGGGTTTGAGAGATAGATTTGTGTGTCGTCGGCATAGAGGTGGTAGTTGAAGCCGTGAGAGTGTATGAGTTGGCCAAGGGAGGAGGTGTAGATGGAGAAGAAAAGGGGCCCAAGGACAGAGCCTTGAGGGACCCCAACAGAGAGGGGGAGTGAGGGGGAGGTGGTAGCATTATAGGTAACGCTGAAGGAGCGTTGTGACAGGTAGGATGAGAGCCAGGAGAAAGCAGAATCTCTGAGGCTGAGGGAGTGTAGTTTTTTGAGGAGGAGGGGGTGGTTTGACTGTGTCGAAAGCTGCAGAGAGGTATAAGATACTCACTAAATGTATCCCCTATGTATTGCACAAAATTGACAAATCTAATAAGTTTGATGGTGCTGTGAGGCCACATCGGGCACAATTTAAAATATCTACTGCTTCTGTCCTAAATTGCAACCATTCTGGAATACTGTGATAGATTCAGTCAGTACTTGACCATTGTACACCTGAGTTACAACCAAGTGGCTTACACTTGACATACAGACATCCTTCTAAATATAAGGCATCCGCTTACTGAACACAGCTAGAGCCTGCATTCCTCAATTGTGAAAGCAATATTCCCCACCCACCAAACAAATGGGGCACACAAAAATTGACATCCTCCAAATGGAAAATGTAATTTATACATTGCCCAACACAGAGGAAAAATTCAGAACACAGGGGCCCTTGATAGACTCCATCTGCAGATAATGGTGCAAAATCCCTGTCCCCACACTCTGTGGACATGGCCCAATTATTGAGTTGAGCGTCTTTGAAAACACTTCCGGATCTAGCAAATCGCCCCCCGCTGTGCTTAGCAGGAGGTCAGAGATTATTAGACCATTAATTCTTAATTTAGAATTCTCACTACTTTATAATGTATAAGGATATAATGTCTTTTAAGTTGTAGTATATTATTTTTGTACTTCTCTCCCATGTCTGAAAGCTAATGGAAATATGTCACTGAAACATTGTACAAATATACGCATATATTACTGAATGTTACATGACAACATAAATAAGAATTAAAGAAGTACAGCCAAGGCTATTTTGGCTGTACATCTATGGATCACAGGAGTGGAGTTTGTTCTGCACTCCTGTGATCTGCTTTCAGCCAACAGCAGGGTAAAGCTCACTGTTTGCTGACTTCACTCAGCTGGTCCAGGCTGGGGAAAGTCAGGATCCACCCCAGAGTCGATCGTGACACCTGGCTCAGCCTCTCGATGTGCCACTTAGAGCCTTAGCCAGCCGCTACCTCCGCCTCCACAGCTCAGTGCTCCATTGACTGCTGGGAGGGCAGAGCAGACAGTGGTGACCGACAGTAGCAGCATGTTCCCATCATCTCCCTGGAGATATCTATAAAGCAAATACCATCTGACCAGCTAGAAAATATTTGTGAAGGACAGTGCTAGTGTCTCCTGTCACCAGGGCTTCTGTAGTGTACACAAACCAACTCTAAAGCAGTTGCAGGAATTTGACAAAGAGTGATCACTGTGTGCATTTGACAACAATATCACAAATTCTCCACAAATGTGGCTTGTATGGGAGGGTTGCAAGAAAAAAGCCACTCCTCAAGAAAGGACACATGTAGTCACGACTGAGCTTTGTCAAACCGCACCTTGAAGATTCTGAGGCCACATTGGAAAATGTGTTGAGGCACAAAAAAACAATTTTAGTTATTAATTTTATCTGACCATAACACTAAACGATATGTCTGGAGGAAATCCAATTTAGCTCACCATCCAAATAACACCATTCCTACAGTAAAGCAATGGAGGTGGTAATATCCTGTTATGGGGGTGTTTCCCTGCAACAGGGACTGGAGCACTTGTCTGGATAGAAGGAAAAATGTTTGGGGCAAAATATCAAATTCTTGAGGAATATCTGCTGCCATTTGCCAAAAAGTTGACAATGGGAAGAAGGTTTATCTTCCAACATGACAGTGACCCAAAGCACACAGCAAAAATGACCACACAGTGGTTGAAGGAGGAAAAGGTGAATGTTCTTGCATGGCCTAGTCAGAGCCCAGACCTAGACCCCATTGAAAATCTGTGGAATGACTTGAAGACTGCAGTCTACAAACAGGTACCATCAAATTTAACTGAACTTGAGCAGCTCTGCAAAGAAGAATGGACAAATATTTAAAAGCTAGTAGAGACATATCCCAGCAGACTAAATGATGTAATTAAAGCAAAAGGAAGGCTCAACAAAATACTGACACAAAGGGGTGATCCTTTTTACAACTCACTGATTCTGTTTTTTGATTTTTTGTTAATTTTTTTTAGACATGTTGGTGTTATATCTTTTACTTGGATGTTATAAGTAAACACCGCTGGATAAAACAAAATAAGTGTCTCTCTTCATTTCGGGCTGCAAAGCAACAAAATTTGATTATTTTTAAAAGGGGGGGGGGGGGTTTGATTCTTTTCTATAGCCAGGCCTTCATTAAAGAGATATCAGGGTCCTCTATTGCCACCACTGCGCTCTGCAGAAGCTATTCTAGCACAGACTCTGCTTGGTGAACTGCTTCCCCAGCCAAATCTGTGAACAGCTCTGATTGAAAGTGCCAGAGATGAGCCCTTCCTGATTCATAATTTACAGGGAAGATTAGCGAACAGATGTGCCCTGATCTACCACCGCTCTCCATCTTGACATGTGCCATGAAGGTCCTGGGCACTCCATTATAAGTAAAAATAATGGTTTGGGCTAAGGTTTGTTTTTGTATTGTAGGTTTTTAAACTGTTTTATATATGTTACAATTTATATGCAACCACACACTTGTAAATACATGTTTGTAGGACCTGATAAAAGGTTTCTAGAGCTTTGTGTGTTCTCTAAAGAACAGCTTTTTTTGAAGCTTTCTTTGTCCGATGAAAAACCTCCTATTGAGCTGTCTAATTTCAGATGAATTGTTGCTGTGATGACCCATTTGAGTTCTGCAAATATTGAGCTTCCTTTAGCAGATCTGAAAATCATGTGAAAAGGAGACTAAGTTCCACTTGCTGTCTGGATAGAAGACTGCATAATATTAATATGCAATATATCTTTTTTTATCTAGCTAAAGTGATATTTTGATATTTTCTGTCCTAATCAAAAAAAGAAAAAGAAATATGTGGAAAACCAGTATTCATTCCCTTTAACATACTAACATTCTAGGTTTGCCATGATTACATACGTAATAGTTGAGGTTGTTTAAAAACAGCACAAACACTATGCGGCATATTTATAAAGTAGTGAATGTGACATTAACCAAATATTCGGTGTACATAATATTTTCTGGTGAATACAGACAGATCCACTGCTTCCTAATACAGTTTCACAGCAAGAAAAAGTATGTGAACCCCTTGGGATTATGTTGGAGTTTTGCATTGCATGAATTGGGCATAAAAATGTGCTCTGAACGTCATCTAAGTCACAATAGAATGAACTGGAAAGTGTTACAAAAGTATCTCCAAAAGCTGAACATAAGACAGACTGTCTACAAACATTAGTTTAGCACTGTTGCTACAGGCGTGGTTTAAAAATGACTGCAAAGAGCACAAGAATGCTGCATGTAAACCCAGAGTCAGCAGACTTACAGAAATCTCTGGCACATGCTAGTTGAAAACAATAAGTTAAACAACATACATTCTTGATCGAATATTGCAGCACGTCTTCTTTGCAGAGCTCTTTTCTGCAAGGCCAAGATGGTTGTTTGGGAAGAACACACAACAGACACAGCACACCAACATGCTTCTTGAAACCAGGGAAACCTTTGCTGCCTCAACAGGTGTGGGAAAATGTTTTTAAGAGCAGGACAGCTGTCAGCAACACATCAACAACAATACCCAAAGCATACATCACACAATGAACAGCACAGAATTGGAGTCAAGGTCCTGGCTCACTGAAATGCTGTGCTCCAATTAGACTCTGGTACACTGAGAAGTCCATTAAGCGTAGGTCTGATCTCACATACTTTTTCCTCCCTCCCTGCACTGTGAATGTTTACATGTTATGTGCAATTAAACCATGGCAACATCTAATGTTTGTGTAGTATTATGTTCAGCAGACTGTGTTCTTCTATTGTTGTGACTTAGATGACGTTCAGAGCACATTTTATGCCCAATTCATGCAAAACTCCACATAATCCCAAGGGGTTCACATACTTTTTATTGCAACTGTAACTTCTTCTAAAGATTTGTATATTTTTTCACTGTTTCTTTAACTACAATTGTTTATGGATGTCTTTTGCATATTGTTTCCATAGGCCCAGTTTGCTCACATGGGATCTTCAGTATACCATAGAACACCATATACTTATCGTGTCCCTCAAGAATCTTGGTGGGAATTTCTGATTCTTAATGCCATCTACACTTTGGGAATGCAGATTTTGGCCTACCGTTGTCTCCGGAATCCAGCTTTCTTCATAAAGGGAACAACAGAGACTGTAGAGGAAGGCAAGAAACAGAACTGAGGGGGTGTCATAGTGTTGGAGCATGCCCTGATATGCTGAAGGAGAATGGTCTCTATATAGTTTACAAGACTCCAGAATTTGACCTGGACCAATTGAAATGTTTCTGACCAAACAAAAGAGTACATGTTACCCCTAGGAGAATTCCATTTGTACAATTCAGGAGAAAGGGGAAGGATTTTAGCACTGTGTTCCATACATATTTTCTTTCCATATAAAGATTCATACATTTCATCTTTTTTCAAGGCTAAAACACAATCTTACCCTACATTGATTGTTTTAAAAGGTCAGTCCTGCCAAAACTCTGCCTACCATGGAGTCTAAATAAGAGTTTTTATAACGAATATTTTATGTTTTTACTAGAGTTTCCGCAGTTTAATCCCTGGTCTAGTCTACATACTCGTATCGCCAGCTAACATCGCATTTGTGAACCTGCAAATTAGCAAATCTTTTCCAATTCAATACCCAGCAGATTTACTGCTGTGCTGAGCACATATGGTAGAACATTTAGCTTTGGTTTGAATATTACTTAAATAAATAAATGCAAAAAAAAAAAAATATTGTTGCAAACTAGTTGTAAAAAATTTTTTTTTTTTTTTACCTCAAAATTTTGCTATTTTGTTAATGTTTTTGTAATTAAGACATTTTGTCAGAAACAGAGTTTTAAAAATATCAGTTACTGTTTTTTTTTTTTTTTTTTTTTTAAATACAGTAATTGAATTTGGAGATCTGTATTGGAATATAATCCTGTACAGTCTACGTAAATGTTTTCTTTCCAAAGTTGCTTCCTTGTTGCATACAGTGTTTTTTTCTTAGAGAAAAAAGTATCACCATAATTAAATCCATTTAAAAGTCTTCGGGGTACTAAGCATATGGAGCACCAAGTCCTGTTCTGATCTGTGCCATGTTTGCTAACCCGATGTGGTTGACAGGGCATCCTCTCCACCACCACTGTTCGATCATGCTGCTGAGAAGGAGACAACCCTTTAATGAGGTCTGAGTGACAAAGATGAGGGGGAAAACACAGAGAGGAGAGGGTGCTAACAACATCTGAAGCTCTGCCATCTTCCAGTCTTGGGACTAAACCTCTTCCATCTTCCTTGTACATTGGTGGACATACAACTGAGCCCAGACCTGCCAGCCTGCTATTGTAGAGAGATAGAATAGTATTATGTACCTGGTGATGGAGGCCAATGGAGAGAGGGCTTCCCTTGCGGCTAAGTTTCGGACTCCCCTGAGAGTGGGACAGCGCAAGTCAGGCCCAAAGTTGCACAGGTCGCCTGTAGGAGTGGTTCACTCAGAAGCACCGCTGGTGCACGGAGATAGGTCTGCAGACAGGAGGCGCCTTTGCGTGGTATGCAAGCCCTTCCGGGATTTAGATGTTTACTGGGTAGTTGGTTCAAGTCAAGGTCAGATACTAGATGGGAATCAGAGCAGACATAGTCAGATGGGATAGCCGAGGTCATACACAGGGGAGCAAGAGAGAGAGTGTATCCGTAAGCCAGGCCAAGGTCAGATCAGGGGTAAAGCAGAGTAGACAGGTCCAGGAGCAAGCCGAGTCAGTAACAGGAAATCACGGGTCAGTCACAGGAAACAGAACGGCACGGGGAGCTAGAGATCATCAGCAACTTGAGGAAGTGATGAGCCTCCTTATAAAGGTCGTCTGGCACCAAACTGAGGCTGATGTGTCCTTCTGCGGCCATGCAGAGTATTGGCAGAACTGCCAGATCTTCCAGAACTTCTGCCATGGACAGGACCCTGACAAATAGAGTACTAGCTGAAGGTTGCGTTGTTGTGAATAATAGCGTTTGTCTTTGACCGCAGGAGTCAAGCACATTTATTCACAACAACAACACATGGTGCCTGGAAAAGAACTATCTCCGTCCTGGCCAGTACTGAGTGGAGAGTCAGCCCATGGATGCAACTACTGTGTCTGGACTGAGCCATATCAAAGAAAACAGGCGTCCTATCTACTATGGAGTGTGAGAAATACAGAGAGACCAACCCTGGGCCAATGATTATGTGTAAGATTAATCTAGTCTAACTTGGAGCCAGTTTGATTATAAGAGTATCACTTCACTGTACATGGTGATTACAGTACTGTGTTGTAGCTTTACCATATGATTCAATCTGGGGTGGAGCTGACAGCCAGAAGAAATATAAAAAGATGTCCTTTTAGTGCTCCATGCATTTGGACCCCTGGGGGTTTAAACAGGGATTTAAAAATTACTGAAATTTCTTCTTTAAGTATTCATACCCCTTATTCTATATGTTGTAGTTTTTCAAACTGGAATGAAAATTGATGTATTTAAAAATTTTAAGCAGAACTCTACCCACCCATTCTGCCCAGGATTCCAATATACTAAGCTGTGAATGGGACCTTAGCCTTTTTCCCCCCTCGTACCCCTCAGCTGAATTGTAGCCTGGGCTTTGACTGCACCATTCCAGGTCCCTTTCACACAGACATTCCTATCAGGTCCACCTGTCAGTTTTTCAATCTGTTTACACCCACCCACCTCCAAGTCTGTTCAGGTTCAGAAAAAAGTCCTTTTCTGTTTTTGCAGACTGGATCAGAGGTGGCCTGATGTGAACTGACAATGTAGTTTATTTACATCCGAATGCTCATAGATCTTTGCGGGATCTGCCCAGCAGTAACTGAACTGGCACAGATGTCAACTCTTTGACATCTGTTGTGTTTGGCTTCGATCAGCAAGGGATCTGCTCACAGATCTTAATTTTAATTCCACCCATATGTAGGTTTTGCTGTGTTTAGGGTCCTACAGTAAGGTGAACTTCTGTCCTAGTGCCAGGTCAGTTGCAGACTGAAACAGATAATGTTAGAAATATCCCAATCCTGACTGGTGTCCTATTCCGTACTAACTAAACCCATAACCATCACATGGTACTGCCACCCACCATGCTTTACTGTGGGGAATGAATCCTTTTTCTTTCTGTCATGCATCAAATATTATGCAGAGGGCAAGCTTTTCAGTTTTGGTCTTATGGGAACCTTTTTCCATGATTTGCTTTGTCTCCTTTGTGCTGTTTGTCAAGCTCTAAGCCCTTGTGTTTGCTTAAAAAATGCAGGTCAAATACCACATTTTAAAGTGTATTCTGAATGCCAATCAAAGCAGCTATCACAGAATAAAAAGGTTACTTTACAGTCCTGTACACACTGTTCAGCTTGCACTGCTTTGCTTTGATCAGAAATTCTACCCCATGTTGCTTTCTTGGTTCTTCACCACATTTCCAAAGCCTCCATAGGTGTCTTATCACAGTGCTCCTTAATCACACCTGCAGTGTTACAGGGGCGCTTCAGAGTTAGCTTTGCTTTGTATATGTATTGGAAAAAATAGAAAACCAGCACACACAGGGTATTTGCCAAGCTTCATTAAAGCATCAAAAAAAGCTTACAAAATGCATGTTAAAGCGTTTTATGGTGCTTTAATGTGTGTTACTAATCAACACAAGTGTATATGAGCCCTAAAAAGGCTTTGAAATGAGTTTTTCCTTCAGTAGCTATTTTCTCTTTACTAGTTCAGAAGACCCAGCTGTGTGGAGCACCAGGGTTATAATTGTCTCATGGACAATTTCTTCAGTTTCAATTGTGGATCCTTGCAGCATCTTCACACTCACCATTTGCCCCTTGGTTTCTTCTCTGACTAATGCTCTCCTTACATGAACTTGGGTGGACAGCCTTCTCTAGGCTGTATGGTGGTTGTGCTCTATTCTTTCCATTGTTTAAATTTAAAGCTGGACTCCAGGCAAATAGCTAACTACACAGATGTTGTAAATATAAGGGAGCTGTCTTACCTACCGAAGCATTTGTATTTGTTAATCCAGGCATTTACACAGTTCTGCCACACAGCACAACCCCGTCTGGCAGGTGCAGGAGACCCATTTTTTCTGAAAAGCATTTAAGTAACATTTCAGATATTTTCCCTCCCACAGAATGCTTCAAAGCCCAGTCCTGGGCCCCCACCCTCACAATATCCCCCTTTTGCCCCCTCTGCTGTATTTTTTTTTTTTATTATTATGCTTGCCTTTTCCAGGACTCATGCTCCCTTTTTCTTACTTGCCGGTGGGGTGATCCTTTTTCTTCCATCCATAGCTTGGAGCGGTGCCATAAGGTATACCTTTTCCAGGTGTTTTCTGGCTGGTCAAGTTATGCTGCAGGGTTCTTTTTCTCTTCAGTCCTACTTAGGCTGAGTTGTGCTACTCATGCAGAGAGCTGCACTTATGTGATAGTGCAAGTGCTGCTCTCTGCATGGACATTCTGTGAATGCATGGAATTGTGATGATTCCCAGCACTCACAGTATGTCATCAATCTTCCAGGATGAGCGATGATGAGTATTCTTCAACCTGGAAAACTAAGGACAGCTTGTGGTGGAAAGAGGTACTGAAGGTGAGTATTGAGCTTGAGCTGCTTTTTTAAATCTAAACCTGCCCGTGGGACCTTTTTAAAAAAAAAAAAAAAAAAAAAAAACTAGCCCAGAATTGGGCTTTAATGAATATAGAACTAAATCCAGCTATGTCTTTTATATGTGCCTGAAGGTCAGCTTTAACCACTTCATGTCCGCACACTTTTACCCCCTTCCTGTCCAGGCCAATTTTCAGCTTTCAGTGCTATCACTCTTTGAATGACAATTGCGTGGTCATGCAATACTGTACCCATATGAATTTTTTTTAGCATTTTGTAAGACTGATAAATCTTTATTTTGGTGGTATTTATTCACCACTGGGATTTTTATTTTTTTGCTATGCAAATGAAAAAGTCCAAACATTTTGAAAAAAAAAGTGTTTTTCTTATAAGATTATTTATTTATATATATATATATATATATATATATATATATATATATATATATATATATATATATATATATACACAGTCAGGTCCATAAATATTGGGACATCGACACAATTCTAACATTTTTGGCTCTATACACCAGCACAATGGATTTGAAATGAAACGAACAAGATGTGCTTTAACTGCAGACTG